ATGTAAAATATACCATTAAAAGTGACAAAATGGTATTTTCAGGAGAAACACCTTTATGTAAAATATGCCATTAAAAGTAACTAAATGACAAAATGGTATTCTCAGGAGAAACACCTTTATGTAAAATATGCCATTAAAAGTAACTAAATAACAAAAGAGTATTCTCAGGAGAAACACCTTTATGTAAAATATGCCATTAAAAGTAACTAAATGGTATTTTCAGGAGAAACAACTTTGTATTTTTCACCATGCTAGTTCTGTTCACTAAGTTCATTCTGGTTTCCTAATATAAAAAATATTTTTTAAGTGCATAACATATACCTACTTTTAAACATTGTGCATACTTTAAGGGTGAGTAACTGCAAGTACAGTAGTAATGTGAATATATATTGTGGATTAACTTGAAACGTATTAATGATTACCTTCTGATTTATATGTTAGAGTTTACATATTATAGTTAGTGTTAGCATTTCACACGGTAATTCCTCTCACAATGTTTAAACTGAATTTGTTGCTTCCAGTCATATCAGTATAAAATTTACTAAATATAATTACAGGATCATTTGACTCTTGAAAGCCACTGTTACAAATCAATCAAAACAAGAATCTAGAGATAAACAAACAATACAGTAAGGGTCAAGAAGAAAGTAAAGGGTAGCCAGTAGTTCTTTGTGACCCTTACTGTATATTCATAAACAAATCATTATCTTCATAGCAAAGTTTTTACAATGTTAAAGATATAAAAAGTTCCAATACTAATGGTTCTGTAATACATTAACATAAAACAAGATATGAACTTACATTTGAAACCAAATTAAATAGTACAAAAATGATTACAAGTTGAAATATAATAAGTCATTCTATACAGAGTTAAGACAAACAACAGGTAAGTTGAAAATGTCAATCGTAATTACGTTTTCAACCACAAAGTCTAAAGTATGATACTTTGACATTTGTTGACATCAGGCCATATAATGAACCTGTCTATGTTTAACTGATTTCAAACAAATTCCAAAAATAACATGCAAAAATAGCGTCAAAGCACAAAACAATCTACAAAGTTCTAATAAAAAATTAACATAAACTTGAAATGAGCCGAGTACAATGAATAAATCAAGTTTTACATACACACACTTCTTCCTGTATGAATCTAATACACACACACACACACACACCAGGATATTTTCTTTTGGACAAAGTGCAATCCAGATTTTTGTTTTTCTAATTTGGCTCTAATAATTTACTCTTAATGTTTAAATTTTAGAAAAGAAAACTGTATGTGCCCTTTAATAACTGAACACATGGTTGGTTAGGAAAGCTATGGATAATAGTGCAGGTTCTATTAAAGCCAGTTATTGCAGAAAGCACGACAACAGTGGGACGACTCACTACACATACAGTTTGGCATATCAACATACCAATGTCGGCAATCTGGACTGCAGTATCTGCAAATCTTCATAACTATATACAGGCTGCTGCAAGCCCTTCAAAATAAGAAACAAAGTCATAAATAAAGGCCCCACATGACAGGCAAGAAAAATAAATAAGAAAAACTAAAGAAGGATCAAGTAACAATGTCAGGCATCAGAATTTGTCTGACCGACAGCCAGAACTTGTGTTCTCCTAGGCAGAACTTTCTCTACCAATAAACAGTGGAGATAATTTTGCAACAGCTCTTATTTCACTTAACTCCCTGGTATTCAGAGGTATGCGATTCTCCAGAAATATATTCGAGGTCTTTAACAATTTTACCCGATGTATCCGATATTAAATTTCACTTTGTTATCGTGATATTGAACGGTGGATTTTTCTTTACGAATCTACATTTTTTTAAGATTTACTTCTGCAACAACACACAATGTTGAAAAAAGTTATAAACAAAACAATTTTTACACTCATTTCACAAAAACTAAAAAACTATTCTTAAAAACAACACATTTTCTTAAACTAATAATAAAGATTCAGTAATCTCCAGGCTACTAACTATACATAAGCTTTTTATTTACATCTCTTGTTACTATAATATTACTTTTTTAAATTCTTACTTAAAATTTAAAGAGATTACTAAATACTTTATGCTGTAACTCTCACTGTAACGTTTATGATACACAAACAGATTACGAGTTGTACTCCAACAATGAGTACTTACGTAGAAGGGTAGACCCGCCTGACCCACGAAGTACTGGTGACCTACCATGGCCGGTGGGACACCTGGTGGAATGTTTGGCATAGCTTTTCCTGCTGCAAGGTAATCTATCGTGAGCAGGTTGTAGAGAGGAAATGTGTAAATGAACATGTTTAAAATCAAGTTCTTAAAATACATTATTTTATCAAACCTTTAACTTTAATAAGATTATAGCTGAATTACATTCTTCAAAAACAAATATCATACCAATATTTAAATGTAATTAGAAAAATCAATTACACAATGTCTTTAAATGTTTCTTCAGAAATTTCATAACCATTAATCACCACAGGCAATATTCCCCTAACATACTATTACAGACTCTCTATAATGTTTTTCTAAATAAATCTCAATTTAAGGGTTTTTTTTTTACAGATATTCTTCGAGTTTGAAAGATTAATCATTACTCAAAATTAAGAAATAAGTTTACAAAAGAACTACAGTTAGCATTACAAGTTGTAGATTAAACCAACAACATTAGTTTAAATGCAGCAATGATAAATGTCTCCTACTGACTTTGCAAAAAATTCAGTGTTCTGCATAAGACAAAAGGTTCACTGTGGACAGATCCACTTATTTTGACAGTATCTCATACAGACTTTAGTTATGGCACACACTTCAAAATATATGACCAAGTTTGTTTCATGACAAAAGGAACTTTCGCACGTAATATCATTTTGGGAACCAAATTTGAAGTTTGTACGGCTACAGGTAAAGTAGCCACTAGCACTAGGTTTTAGTGTCTTACATTCAAATGTTATTAAACTAATTTTTTGTTTAAGTTATACCAATTAGAATAGTGTAAAATATTAGCTAATAATCCATATTTTAATGGTATACAAGTTTTTAATTTTATAAGACAATATTTAAAAAAATCCTGAATTTCCCCTAGTGTGACACACATGACACATTTTCTCCAGGTATATTATCATCTTTTATTTATCCACCACCACCCCAGAAACTACAAAATTAAATGTAAATTACTCCCTATAAAATTGTCATTGCTCTGACAAACCATAATTTTTTATAACCTTCAATTTTGTTTGGTTACAGAGCTATCGAATAGAAAATCAGACCCCTCCTGCCACATCCTCTCTTTCACAACTTATTGATAGTTCTCTCTTACGTTTCATTATATATTACCTATAACCAATAGAATATCAAGGTTTTCATCTATCAAATGACATATCATATAACGTTACGTTCTGAACAGAATATCATCAATTTCCTTCCCGTGGGAAAGTTTACAACTAGCTTAGAAGAATTTGTAATGGCTCTTGTCCCATAGTTAGAAAGCCATGAAAATTTTGAGAGGTAAGCAAATTTGTCTACCTTTTGCATATTATTAGTATATATTCTTTGGTGCATTATTTAATTAAATAAAAATTATTAAGTGCATTATTATCTATAGTATAAAAAACTAGGGTTAACTCTTTTCAAAAACCCAAGAGCAAGAAAAGAGATTGGGTAAGTACTTGATTTTTTGTTTTTCATATTTATTCTTTATGTATAATTATAAAACTAAAATTAAAAGTATGGATCTTTTCAAGTTATTTAAGACAAGATTAGGTAAAATAAGTAATAATAATAACTAAAATGGTTCATGAAGCATGCATGTAAGCAGCTCATGGGTAATGTAATTCAATAGCGCAATGTGAGCTGCACGTTCTCTGAGTGATTTACAACTTATAATGGTGCGAATAGTAGTTAGACACAGTTCAAAGGTCAATAAAACAATAAAATTTAATAACAAATAGACGTATACTGTTACGAGCTTGTAGCTACTTAGGATAAACAAATGTAGTTTCTTGTTACAATTTGAAGTCATTCTAGAAAGAAAAAAGGGTAATTTAGGTTTATTTCTTTTTTTTTTGGTGGTTACGAGGTTGGTCGATTGACCGATCCCATTTTGAGATAGGGTAAGGAAAATAACATGTAAACTATAAAGTTTTACTTTAAAAAAAAAAAGTTTGAAATGCAGTTAGGAGGTTTTAGGGATTACACAAAGGAAATTTGAGATGAGAAAAAGTATTTTTAACTTTAACATGAATTACTTTACACACTGACTATTCAAAACAAATACTCAATATATTAATGGACAAATCTTCATATTATTTTATCAAAAATACTTCACTAAAAATATGATTTTTTGTATGTGTTTGTTTGTTTTTGAATTTCACGCAAAGCTACACGAGGGCTATCTGCACTAGCCTTTCCTAATTTAGCAGTGTAAGACTAGAGGGAAGGCAGCTAGTCATCACCACCCACCGCCAACTCTTGGGATACTCTTTTACCAACGAATAGTGGGATTGAACGTCACATTATAACGCTTCCATGGCTGAAAGGGAGAGCATGTTTGGTGGAACAGTGTTTCAAACTCGTGACCCTCAGATTGCGAGTCGAGCACCATATCCATCTGGCTATGCCAGGCCTTTTTGTATGTGAAAGACTGCCAAATTTTGTGAAGATATACACACTATATTGAGAGTTAGAAGTATTAAATCAAAAACTTTAATAGAGTACAAAGAGGTCACGTGATTGGTCAAATTGATCAAGCCCATGTTGAGAGAGTTAAAACACAAAACCTTTATGTTTTAAGAACAATCACAGCACTGAAAGAGATCAAGTAACCAACTAAAAGCTGTATACTGCTTTTAGGTATTTTAAAAATGTGTTGCAATAATTGAATCTAAAATTATTATTTTCTAATCCAATGTTTAAAAACTAGCAATCACAGTGAAAAAGCAGAACACAAATTAAAGGGTAAAAAAAATATATTTTTTATATTACTAGAAAAAAAAATGAGGAGGAGAAAGTGCCACAACTGTAGATCACTATATACAATATTTGTTGGATTGAATTTTCTACTTCAACAAAATATTCCTGTTAGTCAGCATGGTAAACAAATCATGAAGTTTCTTGATTCTCTTATTCCTCAAGTCTACATGCCTCAATTTTTATTACAGTTTAATCTATCGCTTCTCCTCACTCAGGTATGCCTTGAAGACAGTACTCATTGTTTTTCTTATTCCTCAATATACAAGCCTCAATTTTTATTACAGTTTAATCTATCGCTTCTCCTCACTCAGGCATGCCTTGAAGACAGTACTCATTGTTTTTCTTATTCTTCAAGTCTACATGCCTCAATTGTTATTACAGTTTAATCTATCGCTTCTCCTCACTCAGGAATGCCTTGAAGACAGTACTCATTGTTTTTCTTATTCCTCAATATACAAGCCTCAATTTTTATTACAGTTTAAACTGTCACCTCTCTTCACTCAGACAGTCCTTATTGGATTCATTCAGATGTGGAATTTTAAAATTCAGAACATTACAAATAAATAATGGAATGACCAATCAAAAAATTTAATTATACAATGAAAAATATCAGTTACTTTCAGTAAATACCAGTAAGTAAGCATGTTATTGTTCTGTGTGCGTGTGTTTGAAAACATGTTGAAAATTGTAGCAGAAATGAGGCCAAGAGAAAGAAAATATAATCAGTGAGAAAAGACTAGCAGCATAAAACAAAAAACACATAGGTGCTGAAATCAAAAACACATGTAATAAAAAACCGAGTGAGATACTTGAACAAAAAAAGTTTTGATTTTAGTAGAATAGTAAATAACATTTAAAATAGCGCATGAAACTCAAATTCATGACTGTAGGTTTTACTAGTTCATTTTTTTCATTTCCCATAGCATTATAACAACTTCATACATTTAATATCTCATTATAAATATACACTTTATTTGAAATCTTTAAACAGTAGAAAAGATATGGTTACCAACTTCAAAATGTGTGAATTAATATTGTATTACAGTAAATAAATATGAGGGGAAAAAAAAAAGAGTAAAGAACAATAAAATTTAATGGAAATACAGGTCAAGAACAGATTAAAACCTTTTACATTTTCAAAGTATCAGTCACAAAGAAGAATGAACTTACTAGCTGACAAGGAGTTCTTCAGGATAGATGTTGTGGTAGTAACAGAAGAAGTTGAGGCCAGCCCCAACGTAGTTGGAACTCCAATTGTAGCAGATGCTAAACCTGTTGCTGTTGTGGTAGATGGTGTTGACATCGTAGATGTAAGATTACTGTTGCCACTTGTTGTATGGGCTGTATCATACGAATGCTACAGAGAGAGAGAGAGACAGTGATGTAATCATACTTAAGGCTAACAAACAAATTATTGATTAATAGAAAATCAGTTTGAATTAAAACTAATCCCATATAAAATCACATTAGCAAACTTTTAAGATAAATTATATGCTAATTTTTTTCCATTTTTAATTTTCTAAAAATAAATAATTGAAAACAATTTCTTTTCAATATAGTTTATTTTATTATACCCAAGTTTATGGCTTAAATCAGGTTATTTACTATATAAAGCAAACTGTGTGTATAGGAAAAAAAGTACATGGTCATACATCTATCATTTCATGTATGTTCCTTATTTCTTGATCAATCAGTATCAAACTTGACACAGTGATACAGGGTGCCATGAGGAAGGTCGTGTGTATTTCGAGAACCATTTCTTTCAACATCTTTTTTGTACAAGAAATTCTACAGATGATATGAAGACACAAAATAAAGGTTATTTACTTTGTAAATCATATTTTTGTTTATAGTGGGCATTTTATATACTCGAGTCAATCCAAACATGTTTGAAAAAAATTACTTGGAAACTCAAGTAATTTTCTTTTTATAATAAATACAATTTTTGTTAAAATGGAATTAAAAGCAAAAATACTAAGTTGGAGATTACAGAAAAAGATCACAGTGAACAATACGTAATGATCATTAACGTGTTACATCAGAGATCATGGTGCTCATATATTACTTTCTTCACTAATCATTGTTCCCTTCATAATAAGTCATTTGCGCACACTAACAATAAATAGTTACAAGTAACACGTACTTGGTTTAACCCTTTCCAGATGGGTCACAGGTCAAAGGCCATGTCATTGCATTTGTTGATTCGCATTCAAAATTTTATTGAACTACCATTTCATGAATTCATGTCAATTAAGTTTAGTATCAAACTGTAGGTTATAATTCAAATTTTAGTATTTAAACATTACCCAATTTAAAAGTAAATATAAAAAACACAGTTAAACATAGATTTTTGTGTGTCACGTGTATGTTGATTGCATGGTGCAAATTAGATGTTTGTGATGTCAAAATACTAAGTGTATAGTTTCATACGAATTAGAAACTCAAATTACAGATGCTGACAAGCTAGAATATAAAATAAGAACCTCTTATATTTTCAATTTGCTAAGATATTTCTCATGTTATGAAGAATACAGTGGCACCCCGCCCACCTCTTCCCACTTTTGGAAACGCTCCCTTATATACACTTACTTCTATATATGACATGAATAACCAATTGGAAGCTCAGAATGTCATCCTACTGGCTTTTTTCAGCCACTTTAACGGACTTGGCACCATTTCTTTCTTTTGAACCAATATTTCAATGAGGTAGGTTGTGTCTTTAATCTGCTCAAAATTTCTTATATTTTTTAGGCTGAAATACAGCTTAGTTACTAAGCTTGATAAATTATAGTGGAATGCTATGATATCAATGTAGTAATTTATGGTTATTTAACCTGTATATATATAAAACCAAAAAAATATATTTTGTTTCATATCCTCCATGTGCAAAATTTTTAAAGGCTTAGCAACCTACATCAAGCAGCAACTGAGTACAAAGATCGTAACTAGAAGAGATAATTGTTTGCTTTACTTGTTTATTTACTGTTCTATGTTTTAAGAAAAACAAGTATTTATACTACTCATGAATGCCACTAGCGTTTACGTTGTTACTACAGCAGTTGAATCCAATAACACGTATATATATAAACATATACAGTTGTTAGCTAACCAAACATTCATACATAAGTTTGTCTCACACGATACATTCAGTGTTCACTTGCCTGCTATAAGTTAGTAAGTTAACCAAATGTGCACGTGGACCGACCCTGTTTTGGAGAAGGAATGTTGACTATAATTTCAAATTTTACGTGTATCTAAACAAAATGTGGCAATTTGTTACAAACATGTATGAATCTGTTGTACACAAAAAATCAAATGCATTACAAAAGGCATTTGTATTCAAGATATGTCTGTGAAATGTCAATGTCAGTATCATTCCAGATTCTGACCAATCACAGTGTCACGTGATGTTCATAGCACTTGAACCTCTGAAATGTATATAGTTTTTTCAGTATCCCTGTACACTGTATCTGGTATTTACACTCCTCTGCTATATATCAGCAGTGTAGGGTAAACTGAATAACTCTGGCATCAAATATATAAACCATGCTGAATGACACCCTGTAAAAGGTCATGGAAAGTGCACTTTGACCCCCAACCGGGCACATACAGTTAGGCAGCGATTATGTCTCTAGAGCTCATACCTGCACTGAGGGTTGCTGAGAGTCCAGAACTGGTTCTTTGACTCCATGGGATAGTGCAGTGCCCAGTTTTGATGACGACATGGATGATGAATGTAGAGACGTTGATGCTGGCTGGGTTGAAACCGTGGCAGAATTACTGAAGCCTTGTTGAGAACTGAAACTGTTCACACTAGGATAAGATGATGAATTCTGACCACTATAACCTGCAAAAGGATCAGAACTACATTAATTTTGTGTTAAAAAAATTACAGCTTGGCTCCCTTCTCTTTTTGAAGAAATAAAACAAATTTTTCTTACATAAATGAACAAAACAGTAGAATTATTCCATAAAAAAAAAGAATTATTATTTAAAGGTAGATTTCTAGAGCTTACAAATTTTAGACAGAACAAAACAATGTCTAATAATCATTATAAATATTTTATTCTAAAACAATTTTGTGTAAATCTTACATAAAGCCACTCTAAAACTGAGTTACTTCCACCAGTTTAATTGAATTATAATTCTATGATTATGACTTTGCATACAGTTAACCGATTGACCCTTTCTACACAATTATCATTCACTGGACACAAAGTGCATGCCCGTTCTTTCTGGAATGGAAACAACTTCCTTAAATGACCCTTAAACATCAGGTGCATCAATTTGCCACCCCTATTGTATAGTTTATTTTACAGAGTTGGGAAAAAAAAATATTGGATGAAATTGTTGGAAACCTGAACTTTCTGTGTAGCTTGTGCAACATAAAATATATTACTTTTATGTGTGTGATATTTGTATGAATACTTATCATTGGAAATTCAGAAATATTTGAGAAATGTTTTTAATGAATATTAAAAGTGCTTAACTATTTAGATTGCAATTACTGATTTTTATATCTTTCTACATTATTGTAAAGCTTTACAATAAAATTTTATTTTATAGATGTTAGAAGCAATTTTATTGTATTTGAGAACACTGAAATAAAATAAATATTTTTTTCCATCCCAAAATTATAATAAAGCCTACTTTTGTAATTGTTAAGATGGTTTCATTTAATATATACAAGTTTTAAACCTATTTAATATTCATTTATATGCATTTCGTTTAGGTGATTTCTTTTGCCCATTTGAACAGATACTTACGGTGATAAAGCCTAACGTAAAACACAAATTAACAAATGAAACTTGTACAGTCGAGCACAAAATTATTTAATCCTAATAATTTTCAGCCTGAACCTCTTCCATAAAAAAACTTTTATCATACTACAATATAATAATTCAAATGAATTATAAATTACTAAAGCAAGATTGCTGCAAGTTAAAAAAAACAAAATCATGTCACAATCATCTTTTCTTCTAGCAACATATTATCAAGCTAAGCTTTTATAACTTTGTTCTGATCTTAATGCAAGTCTCCAGTGAACTACAAACCAGACTGGTTTGTACAGTTGTATATGTCACTACCACTTCTCCGAGCTGAAGCATAGGCAACTTACATAAAATCATGACAACTCTCATGTAGGTTGTAATCAAAGCTAAATAATATTTAATGAACATATTATTTCAACTTGCCAATAGGACAAGTCAACTTGTACCTGACAGGCTACTGAACATGCAACACAGCACTTAGTCAATAAATTTAAGATTCACACTCGTATTGTTACCGAGACCACCATCATATTGTTGTGTGTACACTAAAAGTGTTGTATAACTTGGGGTTTTCCCAAACAATTTCATTCCATTATTTTTAAACACTTTCTCAGTATAATGTTACAGTTTCACTTTAGAACACAACTGAAAACCTTGTGGGTCAATAAAACCTCTTTATTTTTCAATGTGATATTAATCTGATACATTTTCTTGTATGATAACACATATCTACGTTTAAGTGTTATTTAAAACAATAACTGCTCTAAATAATCGTATTTGTTGTCATGTGTATCAGTCATCACAAGGTTCGATGAATTGGGTTTATAGTCGAACACTGTTGTTTACAGTGAAGGCACTCAACTGATGAGACTGCATTCTTATCTCTATAATTAAGAATGAAAGAACAGTATTCTTCAGTAGCTATACTTGTTACTAGGACACTCAACTGATGAGACTGCATTCTTATCTCTATAATTAAGAATGAAAGAACAGTATTCTTCAGTAGCTATACTTGTTACTAGGTCATTCAACTGATGAGACTGCATTCTTATCTCTATAATTAAGAATGAAAGAACAGTATTCTTCAGTAGCTATACTTGTTACTAGGGCACTTAACTGATGAGACTGCATTCTTATCTCTATAATTAAGAATGAAATAACAGTATTCTTCAGTAGCTATACTTGTTACTAGGGCACTTAACTGATGAGACTGCATTCTTATCTCTATAATTAAGAATGAAAGAACAGTATTCATCAGTAGCTATACTTGTTACTAGGACACTCAACTGATGAGACTGCATTCTTATCTATATAATTAAGAATGAAAGAACAGTATTCTTCAGTAGCTATACTTGTTACTAGGACACTGAACTGATGAGACTGCATTCTTATCTCTATAATTAAGAATGAAAGAACAGTATTCTTCAGTAGCTATACTTGTTACCAGGAAGTTATTAATCATTATAAGTAAAATCATATATTAATTTTAGAACAGAAAGAACAAACTAATAAGAATACAAAGAAACAAAATAGTACTAATATCACACATCAAAATACTGTAAAACAGTACTGATCTCACCTCAAATATTTAGTAAAATGCCAAAAATGTTACACAAAACATCCTGTATAAATAATGAGTGACCTTACCAGGCTGTCTTTAATGGCAAATATTTAACTATTTTATGGACAGCAGTTAGACTGACGACATTCATCCATTATATTGTTAACATCTGGATTTGCATTTCCTTCTCTCTTTTTATCAACAAATTGTAGGCAATAACAGATGAACATAAGCTAGAATATCCTTTATTTTTTGAAGTATTTATGCTGAAGATTAAATTAGAAATATTCTCAAACATTCATGTTACCATATCAACAATTTAAAGACATTATATTTCCACCAAATGAATCCTGAGCTAATTTTATGCTAACAGTATATCATTACAACAATAGTCATGTGATACCCTGTTTGCTTGTAGACAGAAATAGATAGTTTAAAGACTGACCAATGTTACCAAGCCAGTAAGTATGTTTCCCATTTTATGTATAACCAGTGTTTGAAGTAGGGGAAAAAGAGGAAGTAGGCTGGTTTGTGGAAAAAGAAGAGAAAAGAGAGCCTAACTGGTTTGTTTATGATTTTAGATTAGGCCAACACAACATCTATCAGCCTTATATAGCCACTCTAAATTTTTATAGCTTATTAACTGAATTTCCTTCACTGAGGGTTTTTGTTGCATCTTGACACCTGTACTGCTGCAAATGGGAGAAGTGAAAGAGGGTAAACATCTGGCATAGCCCTAGGCAACTATAAAAGTATCAGGGCAGTTTCAAGTCTACTAAAAGGTAGAAGAATGCTTTCTGTCCCTTCTGAAAAGAAGTGGGATGATATCCTGCTCCACTTCGAACACTGTGTAAAACATCTTCTAGAGACTGTTTTTGCTAAACTGAGATATACTCGATGGTAATGCTCACTATCAATTAAAATGGAGATGTAGGGAGACATGGGGTTATGTTACTTTCAAGGAGTTTTCCAGGACTTCCTGATAATAAAAAAAAAAAACAGATTTTTCCAGTACTGAAAAATCTGCTTACAAGATTCTGCAACTAATGTAAGCCCTGGGTGTAATTTTACTCTTGGCAACAGGTTCACCCCCACTAATTGTCTTAGAGTTAAATATATCTATTTTCTTGTACTTGTTTTTGTTAATCTAATGTAATCAACCAACAGAATACAAGATGGTTAAATAATGCAGACAAGAAAGATATATAAATAATGTGGTATTTATCTGTTGTAGCTAACCTTTTTTAATCATAGATTTTCAGTTACAAACTCTTTAGAGTGTATTATAGTACCAGGTTATATAACTTGTTAAATAGAAGTTAAATGTAGTGGCATAAAACAATATACTCACAAAAACTGGTCAAAGAAACAAACACAGCATTAAACTTAAATTTGTCAGCTACAACATATACAAATAAAAATATTAAAAGACATAGAAATACTTATCTTAAATTAAGAGTTTCAGCATTAGAAGTTTTAATAAGTGTATCTTTTCACATGTATCATTAATTTATAAACACTTTTAGATTAAAAAACAAAAACCCAAACAATCACATTCCATTGGATGCTGGTGAACATCCAACTAGGCATTCATAACTTAATTCTACAGATTTGTACCTTATAACATGCCTATCTACAGTCTTTCTTCTCACCTCTTTGGGAGGAGAACGATGAACCTGCTGATGTTTGAGAGGTACCCGAGTACATAGCTTGAGGAATATTGTATGTAGTTGAAACCGAAGAATAGTGTGAATTATTTTGACTCTGAGAACCAGAAAAGCTCCCCTGAGACTGGTGGTTAGTGCTGGACAGAATCTGTTGACTGTTCAGAGATGCTAAGGACGAGCCTTGGTGTGTATAGTTGGCAGTGGTGGTAGAAATGCTTGATGACCCCAAAACTGAAGCATTTTGTCCAACATACGACCCAGAATAACTTGAGGAATGATTTGACTGATGGGTGGCAGAAGAATAGTTGGTCAAAGCAGATCCCTCTTCTTTACTATTACTCACTGTTCCTAAAGAAAATAAATAAATGTTAGAACACCAACCCTTTTCAGACCAGAGGCACAGAAGTGGTCATTAAGTAAATGCTTCTGTAAAACTCAAATAACACATTTTTTTTTATTTGATACACAATCAATTGGGATAAAACAGGATAATCACTGAACCCTTCACAAAGTTTTAAGATTTTTTAAAACATATTTCCTGTTTATGAAAAATAAAATCCTGTAAAAGTAAGTGCATATTTCTACACTGTGCAAATGTAGCTGTTACTATTGTGCTTATCTGCAGTCAACCACACTAGCAGCAGCCCTAGAGTTAAGATCTCAGTTTTGAGAAAAAGTGTTCTTGTATATGACACAAAAACTACTAATTTAATTGGCTGAAAGGATGTAAAAGTGGAATCCTTATAATCTGAGTTCAGATCAAGTAGGTACGGGAAGTATTTTAAGGTATTTATGCCTCAATAAGAAAGCCAGTTAAATTATTATAGTTACAGGATGTTATTTGCTTTGTGTGTGTTATTATTCTGTGTTATGTGCATTCTTCAAATAAATAATTATTTAATTTACTAATATCATCATTACAAAAAATTGGCTTATATTTCTTTGACAGCAAAAAAAATAAATAAATAAAAAAAATCAAAAAAATCAAGAAACCAAAAGTATGAACTAATTTCTTTTTTCTTAATGTGTATTTTATACTTAATGTTATAAAAATAACTATAATTTTAAAACTAGAACCTTGCTAGGTTAGCTTAGATAATGTTTATTTGTTCAATTATTGTTAAGCACAAAGCTACACAATGATCTATTTGTGCTGGTTTGAAAATTATTTAGAAGGTTTTAGAGGATCATACAAACGACATCTGAAAACTTTAAGATGAATAAAGTATTTTCAATCTTAATTTGAAAATCACTTTGCACTTAGAAATAGTCAACACTGGCTCCATATATTCAAAGACAAATCGTTAGTAAAAAATACTTAATTGAAAAATCTGACCATTTGTGCACAAAAGAGTTGTAATGTTTACTAAAAGCTCGCCAAATTTCACGAAGATACACGTACCACATTAAAAGTTATAGTACGTAAACTTTCATGGTTACCAAGTGGTTACAAAGTTAGTCAAAATGACCAAGCCTATATAGAAATAGTTAAGCTGTACACCTTCATTCTGATTTCAATCACCGTGAAAGACATTGTGAGCTATAAACATTAAAGCCTGTAGTGAAATCTGAACTTGAGTTGGCTTTTTTGATTAAGATGCCATTTAATGTTATGATAATGGATAGACATGAAGATATGTATTCAAAGGTTATTGGTCATATTTGCTTGTTCTACATATTTAAGAATCCGAGTCTAGGCTGTTTAAAACACAACATAATTCTTTGAAAATAAAACATGTTAAAACCCCCAAATACTTAAATACCAAATTTTGGTTTGAATATTCATTAATACTTAGATATTTGTTGCAGCTCTACTAATGAGACAAATGCAGAATAAGTTTCTTTGTTTTGTTCAACAAGCTTTAATATATTAACAGTAATTATCTGAGTTTAGAATTAATATTTTAAGTCAAATTCTGATTATGGGTTAATTAGGATTTCAAACTTATTTTTTAAAATGTTTTTACAATGATTTATATGAAATAGAACTTTTGAAATCATATCTTCAGTGCACATCATTCTTTATTATGGCTTCAGCAGGGAGAAATCAGTGACATTTCAAAAGCACAATGTTGAGTTTGTGCTCAAGCAGCTTTAAAACACACTAGGCTGGAGAGGGTTAATATCTTACATTCACTAATAAAAATTCATATAGTTTCCACCAATATTAAAAAGAAAAAATACTGCTAATGTGATTTTAATATACAACATACAAGAAAAACTCTGAAGAAGAAAAAAAAACAATAATAAAACCATCTGACAATGAATGACAGCGTGTGAGCCACTAATAAAATTGCTGGAAAACAATCTTCTATTATTGAATAGATAAACATCCAGCCTACCATCAAGCTGAGGTTGAGAAGATCGTTGACTTGGATACCCCCTAACTTGATTTCTTTCAGTCTGAGAACTGAGCAGTAGAGAGTGAGGTCCTGCAATCTAAAGAAAAATATAAAAGAACAAATTACTGGTGTAAGAAAGTGAACCAAAATGTACAAACGATCATCATTAACTAGTGATTTTGTGGCAGTGAAGTTCCAATGACTAATTTAGTAATGAACACTTTTGACTTAATTAGTAACATTACAATCATATTTATATATAAACAGATAAGCAGAGCATACCACTGACAATTTAACAGGGTTGTATGGTTGTAAGATGTACGTTACACTTTCCTCATTTCTCACATGCTTGTAGGTGTCAGAAATGACTTCATAGTTATTTCAAAACAACTTTTTAAGGCAAAGAGAGACTCAAAAAGATTAGAGTTAATGAATCGAAATAAAAACACTGCTAATTAGCCATAACCAAAGTAGACAAATGATTTACCCAGCACCTGGCATCTAATGAAAGCCCTAAATCATTTTGCACCAGTAAAAACATGAGATAATTGGACTGGAAAAGGTTAAACAAGTCTAAAAGTGATAATAACTACCTTTTGGGATTGACCAACATTTTGGGCTAAGTCTTGGTTGACTTGAGTTTGTCCGCCAGGAGGCGAATGATTGGCCAAAGTAAACGAGTCTTTATTTAAGCCTGTAGATGAACCCATAGATGACTGTGATGGAACACTACCGCCTTTCTGCATGATTAGAGCTGACTGGCTGTTCAAATGACTAGGCAAGGAGGAGCTGTGAGCGTGAGACCATATCCTCAGGTAAACAATGACACACACACTAAATGTACATAAAAGCTAACACACATTTCCTCATGACAAGTTGTGTTGTGTATTTCTAAAAAAATACTCTTTTTTCAAAATATATTAATATTGAAACGTAAACAAAAACTTCATCTTTCACTGTCCAATAGTAAAATGATGAATTTCTTTAAAAATTGGACAAAAAAACAACAAAACTTTTACATATTTTTATATCTTGTTTATTTTGACTTATTTTTCAGCTTACTGAATCAGTTCCAACAGCTTTATATATGTTGACAACCCCATCAATGTGTTAATGTACTCTAACCTGAATTCTCGGGAATAACAAACACACTATATATTATAATAATTATGTAGAAGAATACCTTTTTTTTAACAATTTTGTACCAAGCTGTAAACAACTAACTGAACAGTAGAACAGCAAGAAAAATAATACAAGACCAAGTTATTAGTTGACTAACCACAGATGTTAACTTTGAAAATACTGATAGGTAAAATTCATTTTTTCAAGATGATCAAAGGAACCAATTATATACACACACATAAATATACAGCTTTTGAACACTGTAGCACAATCTAACTCTTTATTTTACAGACTAAAAAAAAATGATAACAACTACTAAACGTTTTTCAGTATAATTCATTTAGTTTGTTGTTTTTAGTACTAGAATATCAAGAATAGAAGAACAATGATATAATACTAAAAATGATAATAGTTTGTAAAAATCACAATGATCATGATTATATAAAAATGTAGTGCTTTTTAAGGAGCTGAACTTCTGGGCAATTATAGGCTGAAAAATTATTAACCAGAACAGGATATCATTCAAATCTAAAAATTGTCCAGGATGGAATTATTGAAATTAACTGTTTTCTCTATAAAATAATCCAGATTTTGTTTTTCTTTTTATCTCAGTAGAATAAATACAGACTCAAACAAGTTACTATTATTTCTACAGATATGAATAAGTACTTTTATGGACAAGAACAATTAATTTTTCCAATGTTTTTACAGAGATATTGAACTCAAACACACACACACACACACACACACTCTTTAAAAGTTCTGAATGAACAGTTGTGACAACTACAAGCAAATTGACTTGTAGATAATATGTAAAAATACACAAAAGCTGCATTACTTTAGGAATAACCCAAATTTATTACCTTATAACATTTTCACTAAAACTTGAAGATGTCTCTGAAGTGGCTGTAAAATCAAAAGGAGAGGAGTCCGTACCAAATTCTAGAGCTCCAAACTGTACATCCAGTGACATAACAGAGTTGTCTGGCATCTCAACAGCAGATTCAGGAATCTTAATTTTAAGAAAAATAAAAATCAAACTCGGAATCACTGCCAGTGAAAAATTTTCAAGAAATATAACCAGGATGTATGATATTTGGATACAGGCTTTAAAAATAATGCCAAAGATTAACCCTTTCCAGTGTCGAGTGCACACCTGCATAACAAAATTTAAGTAAAATAATAGTTCTAACTATTTTTCAACTATTTTTTGCTCAAACATATTTTAGAAATAATGCTTGGAGACAGCTTGAATGGGTAATGAAGAAAAAGTTTAACATAATAGCAAATGTACAACGTTTCGACAAGGTTTTCTCATCATCAGGTACAAGTAGTTTACACTGACACAGATATATATACAGTATGGAACAAAGAGGTCACATGACCGGATATTGTTGCACGACTTAGAAGAGATATCTTGGCACCCCGGGGTTTTGGTTTAGAATAGGGTTGTTTTGTTCAATTAAGACGGATTCTTTGTTTAAAATTACTGTGTTTTCAATAGATATGCCCCACATTGGCACAGCAGTATGTCTGCGGACTTATGACGTCTAGGTAAATAGTTAGTAAAGCTTGCCAAACTGAGACAGTATAAAGAAATATAAATTATCTAAAATGTATTCATACACCCGTGAAATCAAGACACTATAATGAAACATCTTTATTATACCTTTGAACACTGTGGTCCCCTCACTCTCTGCGCTTTGCTCCGAGAAGGAATAGGCTGAGGCTGAGAATGAGAGAGAGGTTTTGGATTAAGCGTGCCATTAAACTGTCCTGATGGCTGTGATGCAGCAGACTGATTCATACTTGTTTGAAGTGGTCCTGTTGGTGCTGATGGAGGGTTTTCATAACCTGATGGGTAACTTGCACTATTTCCTGAGGTCATGGAGGAGAAGCTGTTGCTATTTAAACTTCCCACCTGAAATCAAGTGAAACAAAGTTTAGTACAATTCAAAAATGTTAATTTTAGACACGAGTAACTGAATACCCCACCCCATCTAAAACCCCATCTGAAAACATACCATAATCATTTATATATATACAATACTTACACAAAGCTACCTAAGGACTATCTATAATATAGCTGTCCTTATTTTTTAACTGATAAAACTAAAGGCAGCTAGTCAACAGCACCCTCTGCAAACTTCTCGGGTACTCTCATTAAATTTACCCATCACTCCTGTAATACAGCCATGGCCCCAAAGTTTATTACATCTATTACAGCGGGTTAGTCACTTGATTTTGCAGCAACACATCACATGGGTCCATGACTCCTAATGCTTGATATTTAGTTAACAGCACATCTCCCAACCATTCCACTGAGCAAAGTCACAGGGTAACTTATGGCTGAAGGGTGGTTGTCACAGCATTTTCTGAAGAATATTCACAGAACAATGTTATTATACAAAGAAAAGGGCAAAGAATACAATGCTCTAACAAAGAAAGCCATATTTAGGACAACAACAGATTCCTAAACATCACCCCCAAGGAAATTTGGAGCAGCTGCATCATCTGAAGAGTAAAGGCTGCTGCTACAAATAAAAAAGAAAGAAGAAGCCTATTGCGATACGTTTCCTATAATACTTAAAGGGTCAACAAACGTAGATTTCCACGAATGTTAACAATCTTTTAGCCACACCTTAAAATCAACAACTGTTTTGGGAGAAAGACGACTGAAGAAATTGGATTCACAAGAACCCCATTGTTGTGAACAAGACTGATCTGTAATTATCTTTTTACACACCTCTGATTTTAAACAATTTAAGATGAAACAATATCTGTAGTCTAGCATGCATTTTGTCACAACTACCGGGCCTAGTTTCGGCCACCAGTGTTATTTAATAAAGTAACATTGTATTAGCTAGGTTTACTTTTATCTTCCAAACTTCTGAAAAATTATATTTCAAAGCTTGTTGAATGTTTATTTCATACAGTGCTCTCTCCAAGAACCTAGTATTAATTAAACCTTGCTCTTAACTACTTCATGTATTTTGATACTTCAGGCTATATTTAACACACAACTATCTAGAAACATGAGAGTTCTATCATTCCTGACTGAATAAGGATCTAAGTTTATGATGTTACCACAGCACTATATATTATTAGGGTGAGTAATGTTGTTTAGTGTTTTATTTGTTAATACAATGCAAGTTCATAAATTATCCTCTGATGTCTGAAAGTTAAGATTACTTTTATAATAAAGATGTAACACTTTTTGACTGTAGAGGCATTGCTGACTTGTGTCGAGATTAATAACAAATGGTAAAGGACAGGAAAAGAAAATAAAACATTAAAAATTAACTATACGTAAAAATGAAAAAAAAACGAAATTACAAATATAACCAAAAACTACGAAAAATTAAAAGGTATGTACGTTTTTCTATTTCTTAACCCTTGTGGCACAGGGCCATATGAGAATTTTGCTTGTGTAACAAATAAATACTGTAACTTTAATAAGTATCTTCTGCATAAATAATGACATTATTTTAATTAAGTCCTCTACTAAAAATATGTTATTTATCTGTTGTAGTTATTTGCACTCAAACTCTGAATAATTTGAGTGCAAGGTGATTTTCATTTTAAGTATAAAAATACTATTCTTCATCTTACAGTTTTAATGTTTTATTTGAATAATCTCCAGACCCTCCTAAATAAATATCAGTTTTTTATGGTAAATGTTTATATTTTATTTTATTTTCCATATCACTAACTCTAGCTATTATCATCAGCATACAGTACAATGAAATGTTTAAAATTAAGAAATACAAAAATATACATGCCTTTTATGTAATTTTATGTAATATACCTTAAAAGATCTTTCGGTTATATCCGTAATTTCAGATCTCTTCCTTTTCACATATACTCATGTCGAGATGAAAAAACAAAACAGTAAAGGACACAAAAGGAAAATAAAACATTAAAACTGTAAGATGAAGAAAAGTATTTTTATACTTAAATTGAAAATCACCTTGCACTTAAATTATTCAGAGTTTCAGTGCAAATAACTACAACAGATAAAAAACATATTTTTAGTACAAGATACTTGTAATCTTTCACAAAATCTTACCACTTTTTGTGTGGGCACATTAAGATAGATCAGAGTTACTGCATGTATTGTTGCACACGTACCATTCCCCATATGTGATCCTGTATTTTACAAGATACAAATAAACGAAGGCTGAATGGAAATATTATTGTATAGTATATATACAAAAAACCTATCCCCTGTGCTGCCTTGATAGATTCCGTTGCTTGCTGAGCATATTGGCTAAGGCTGAACTGGTTTGGTGCACTTTGAGTGGTGGATTGACTTAACTGAGAACCCATCATAGAGGAGTGAACTCCTGGAACATGCTGGGAGTGTACACTAGATGGAAGCACTGTCTGACTTCCCAGACTAACTCCACTAGTGTTATTTTTCTGAAGACCAGCCAGACCCAAGCTATGAAATATTGGAGAATAAAGTGACTTGACAAACACAAAATCATGACAGAAATGTTATATGATATTTCAATTCAATGATAAAGAATTACTAGTTAATTACACTGATATATACTAGGAAAACAAAAAATCATTTTGAAAGTGACTACACTTGTGTTCAACTTTAGGGGATCTTCATAATTTTATGCATATTGAGTGAGTTGTGCATGGTTTCTAAATAAACTAAAAAATCATAAAATGTGGAAAAAAATTACTTCAATCAAATCATTCATGTTACAGCATAAATGTGTCATAAGTAGGGATGCACGAGTAGTAAAACTTGGCCGAATACCGAGTCCGGTACCCAGTCACTAAGTTTCGGCCAGGGCCAGGTGTCAACCGGGACTGAGTTCTCCCCTTGCCCCCCCCAAAAAAAACATACACAAAAATTAGAAACAAAAACAAGGTTGACATATATTACATTTTACCAAATAATCACCACCCCTTGCCCCCCCCCAAAAAAAACATACACAAAAATTAGAAACAAAAACAAGGTTGACATATATTACATTTTACCAAATAATCACCACCCCTTGCCCCCCCCCAAAAAAAACATACACAAAAATTAGAAACAAAAACAAGGTTGACATATATTACATTTTACCAAATAATCACC